CTTTTAAATAGATGTCAAAGTGTCATCTCTGCACATCTGTAGAGCAGTTCACAACTGAAGAGCTTCTGTATTTATTGACTCCCATGGTTCCCCTGTGAAGCATGTATCAAGATGAAGATGAAGAAACTGAGTTGAAGAAGGTTAGGTAACCTAGTCAAGATCACATGAGACCTAAATGGATGCACAAGGATGAGGATTTCTTCTACAAAAATCACATCCTTTTTTTTTTTTTTTTTTTTTTTTTTTTTTTTTAAGATTTTTGTAAAACAGGACAAGGCCAAACTTACATGTCTCAAAGCCCTTTATGTCACTTTTACTGTATCTTTCCTCCCAAAACAAAGTAGAATGTGTTAGAGAAGATAACTTTTCAAAAGCTTATGTTTTAAACATTAACCTCTTTCTTCTTAAAGTCTTTTGGAATTTCTTCTTACAGTCTAGTAAAATAAAAATCAACATTCTTCATCTGATCTGTAAGCAGGTCTCTCACATCCTCAGATGATACTGTTCATGGTCAAAGGTTATCTAATTTTTTTTTTCACACTTCACATCAATTAGCACAGTATAAACATAGCAGGCAGCCACTGCTGGACATGATCTAGCAATTCTACTCCTAGGTATATACCCCCGAGAATGAAAGCAGAACTCAAATACGTATTTGAGGCCAAAGGGTATTTGTAGCCAAAGGGACACCCAAGTGTCCATCAACAGGTAGATTTTTAAAAATGTGGTAACAGGCATACAATGGAATACTATTCAGTCATAAAAAAGAATGAATTTCTGATATGCTACAATATGGATAAACCTTGAAAACATATTAAGGGAATACAAAACAGATGAAAAAAAGATAAATATTGTATTATTCTGCTTATATGAGGTACTCAGAATAGGCAAATTCATAAAGATAAAAAGTAGAAGGGAAAGAGAAAAAAAGACAAAGTAGAAAGATAATGAGATAGGGGAACAGAATGAAAAGTTATTATTTAGTGAATTCAGAGATTGTCTGGGATGATGAAAAGTTCTGGATATGAACAGTGGTGATACTTGTGTACTACTGTCAATATACTAAATGCTACTTTAAAATGGTAAATTTTGTTATGTTTACTTTACCACACACAATTGTGTGAAAAATGAGATAAGCCAAAGTGACTTCATAACTATCCTATAGAAGATTAAGAATATGTGAGAAGAAAGAGAGAAGATGGAAACTAATGTACCCATAGATCATCCACTCATTAATTCAATAAATATAGACTAATAAGTGCCACCTATCTGCCAGGTATCATACTAAGCCTGAAGGATGCAAAATGAATACAAAAGGCTGGGTGTGGTGGCTCACACCTGTAATCTTAGCACTTTGGGAGGCCAAGGTGGGCGGATCACTTGAGGTCAGGAGTTTTGAGACCAGCCTGGCTAACATGGTGAAACCCCGTCGCTACTAAAAATACAAAACAGTTAGCTTCGCTACTAAAAATACAAAAAAGTTAGCTGGATGTGGTAGCATGCACCTTAATCCCAGCTACTTGGGAGGCTGGGGTAGGAGAATCACTTGAACCTGGGAGCTGGAGATAGCAGTGAGCTGAGATGGCACTACTGCACTCCAGCCTGGGCAACAGAGAAAGACTCCATCTCAAAAACAAACAAACAAACAAACAAACAAAAACACCCCCCTCCAAAAATCAAAAAAAGATCCCAATTCTGCTTTCAGGGACTTTAGAGTACAGGAGTCCATACAGAAAAGTAAAGAGACAATTAAATATCATAATTATTATTATGATAGGAATATATTCAAGGCACCAGAGAGCACACAAAAGTGGCATTTAATATGAGAAGATGGGTAGAAAGGATACCTGGAACAAGTCAAGTCTGAGCTGCAACTAAAAGAATGACAGCAAAAGGGCAACAGGGTTATTAAAGAACCATCAACAGCATGTTTTAAGGCTTAGTGGCATCAGAAAACATGTTATGTTTAAGGAACTGAAAATAAGTTCACAAGACTGAATATGGAATGCGAAATAAGGATAAAGAGCAAAACAGGTAGCAGAGAAAGACAGCCAAAAACTGTTAAGGAATGACTGTGCATTAGAAAGAGGTGAAAAGGGTGGCCAGAAAGATGGAGAGGCATGGAGGCATTAAAGCCAAGGGAAGATGGTTTAAGGAGGGTGGGGTACAAAGTATGATCTACTTTGGCACATTTCATGTGCACTTAAAAAAATGTATTCTAACAGCATGGTAATGGTACAAAAACACTAACACCATGGTAATGGTACAAAAACAGACACATAGATCAGATGGAACAGAACAGAGAACCCAGAAATAAAACCACACACTGATAGCAATCTAATCTTCAAGAAAGTCAACCAAAATAAGCAATGGGGAAAAGACTTCCTATTCAACAAATGATGCTGGGATAACTACTAGCTAGCCATATGCAGAAAACTGAAACTGCACCCCTTCCTTACACCACATACAAAAATAAATTCAAGATGGATTAAATACTTAAATATAAAACCTAAAACTATAAAAACCCTAGATGACAACCTAGGCAATACCATTCTGGACATAGGAATGAGCAAAGATTTCATAGCAAAGATGCCAAAAGCAATTGCAGCAAAAGCAAAAATTGACAAATGGGATCTAATTAAATCTATAAGGAACCTAAATGATTCAACAAGCAAAAAACAAGTAACCCTATTAAAAAAACAGGCAAAAGACATGAATAGACATTTCTCAAAAGATGACATACAAATGGCCAACAAATTTATGAAAAAATGCTCCATGTCACTAATCATCAGAGAAATGCAAATCAAAACCACAATGAGGTATCTCACACCAGCCAGAATGGCTATTAAATATCAAAAAACAGCAGATGCTGGCAGGCTGCAGGAAAAAGGGAACACTTATACACTGTTGATGAGAATGTAAATTAGTCCAGCCACTAGGGAAAGCAGTTTGGAGATTTCCCAAAGAACTTAAAAACACAACTACCTTCCGATCCAGCAATCCCATTACTCGGTATGTATCCAAAAGAAAACAAATCATTTTACTAAAAAGACACATGCACTCACATGTTCACTGCAGCACTATTCTCAATAGCAAAGACATGGAATCAACCTAGGTGCCCAGCAATGATGGATTGGATAAAGAAAATGTTGTACGTATATACCACGGGATGCTATATGGTCACAAAAAAAGAACTGAATCATGTCCTTTGTAGCAACATGAATGCAACTGGAGGCTGTTATCCTGAGCAAATTAAGGCAAGAACAGAATACAAAATACCACATGGTCTCACTTACAAGCAGGAGCTAAACATCAGGTGCTCATGGACATAAAGATGGCAATAATAGACACTGGGGACTACTGGAGCAGGGAGGGCGGTTAAGGGTTGAAAAACTAACTGTTGGGTTCTATGCTCAGTACCTGGGTGACAGAATCATTTGTACCCAAACCTCAGCATCACAGCAATATACCCAGGTAACAAAGTTGCCTGTATGTACCCACTGAATCTAAAATAAACCCTGAAAAAAATTAAAATCTGAAAAGTAGACAGAAAAGAAAAAGAAAAGAAAAGAAAGAAAAGAGAATATTCTAATATTGTTGGATGGGAAAAACCTATAAATGTCGATTAGATCAAGTTGGTTGATATTGTTCAAGTCTTCTATATCCTTAATTGTTTTCTATTTGGACTAAAAATTATTGAGAAAGAGGTGGTAAAACCGTAATTATGAATGTTTGTTTCTCTTTGCAGCTCTATCAGATTTGCTTCATGTATTTTGAGGCTGTGATGTTAGTGGATAAACATTTATAACTGTCATGTTCTCCTAATGGGTCCCTTTTTTATCATTATGCAATGAACTTCTTTATCCTTGGCAATATTCTTTGCTGTATGGTAGATATTAACATGTGCTAGACAACTGTAAACTAGAAAAGATGCAGAGTAGATTCAACTACTGAGATTAAATTTACCAGAATAATGAAAATGGAAACTAGATGATCAAGTGATAAGAAATGAGTGAGGGACAGGGAAAAAAGGCCACAGGCATGACACATGATTCCCAAAGAAATGTCCCCAATCGAGAAAATTAAATCTGGTTATTTTAATAATTCGCAAAAAAGAACAGACTTGGAAAGCAATTATCACTTTAACTTGTCTACAGACAATAACACAAGTTAATAAAGAAGTTCTAAGGAACTCTAGGATGAAGACACTTGTTCTAATGTGTAACAGATCTTTACATTCCCTAACCAAGCTCAGGCCACTATGGGAATGGGAATACCATACGGCTTTCTCACCAACAACTGTCTTCAAATCAGAATGGAAGTGCAAATCCTCATTTTCAATAACTAGATTTAACCACTTGCCTCCTACACCAAAAAAAATGGGAGCAAAATGAACAAGAGAAAAATCTCCTTGAGGCTTGCATCCCAGAAGACAGCACTATTGAGTTTCATTCATATTGGTGATTGTAGGCTTTTGTGGGAGCCAAACTCCTCTGATAACACGATGAAAGCTAGGAATAGCCTCTCCAAGAAATCTCAAATACTCAACCATTTGCATATAATTTCAGGGGCTAACAGACCATGGAAGCCCAAGTTAAGAATTTTTAATGTAAACTCTTTAAAATATAGAAAGAAGAAGAAAAAAATCAGGTCTCCAATCCAGTTACCTTTTATCAAGGCAAGCTTGCTACAGACTTGATTAAATGCCATCATGTGTCACAACGAATCCTTACCTATCTTAGTGAACAACTGTATTTTTAACAAGGTATATATTAAAAGAAAATCAAACATACTTGCTTTCTACATCTTGATCTGAACAATGGCATCCCATTTAAGGCCTTGAAATCAGGGCCATCCTCTTAGCAACTCTAGGATCAAATGCAGTTTCTACTTACTTTGCTATCTTTACCGGTAGCTCAAGTTAAGACCTATTCTAGGTAAGCCAAGCAATGGCCAACCTACTGCTGAATGATGAGGGACTTGCTTGATTCCACCCTTACCTGTTGCTATGCTTGGACTTTTCCCGGTCCTTTTCCTTGTCCTTCTTGTGTTCTTTGTGCCGGTGTTCTCGATCTTTGTGTTTATCTTTGTGTTTATGAGAATCTGCAACCATAAGAGATGAGTCAGTTAACAGGAGTCATGAACTATCTTCTGTATGCCTACCCTGACAAGATGGTCAAGAAGTACAATGACAGGATTCAAATGGCATGGTAGGTGTAATAGCACATGCCACCGAAAAAAAAAGCTTTCACAAAGAAGCCTAGACAAAGCGTCCCATTAGCCTACTTCTACAATCAAGACATGTTACTAATATGGGGAGGATGAGGAAATGAGAGCCAATTATTCTGTGAAAAGAAGCCACAGTTTGGCGTTTTTCTCCCTAGACATAATACTATTAAGCCTGACCTATAAATGATAACAAAGGGATAGATATTGAACACTGATTCTAAAGATCAGATGTTACAACTTCTGAAAAATCGAAACTTCAAGAGATATGTTTTTAAATAAATGTTAATAAGGTACAATTTCGAAACAATAAAATACAGTCAGCCCTCCATATGCACAGGTTGAGCACCGTAGATTCAACCATTTGCAGACTGAAAATATTCAGGGAAAAATAAAAAGAGTAATAACAATCACAACCAAAAAATACAAATCCCCCCACAATATAACAACTATTTATATAGTTACACTGTATTAGGTAATCTAAGTAATATGGTGATGAGTTAAAGCATATAGGATTGTGTAAGTTATATGTAAATACTGTGCCATTTTATATACAAAAAACTTGAACATCTGCATATTTTGATATACTAGGGGTAGGGGGTGGGGTGGTTCTGGAACCAATCCCCTACAAATATTAAGAAACAACTGTAATAATAAACATTTCAAAGACACCCACAGGTGCAATCCCCACTACAATAAAGATTTAGAACAAGTCCATCACCTCAGAAAGTTTTCCTTGTGCTCCTACCCAGTTATTTCCCATCTTCCACCCCTTGCCCAAAGGAAGCACTGATCTGATCATGCTATAGATCAGATTTGTCTAGATTTCTAGATTTCATATAAGTAACATCATATAGGATTTATTCTTTTAGTGTCTGATTTCTTTCTCTCAGCATAACATTTGTGACATTCATCCATGTTGTTGGATATATCAGTTGTTGGTTCCATTTTATTGCTGAGTGGTGTTACATTGTACAGATATACTGTAACCTACCCATTCACCTGCTGGACAATTTAGTTGTTTCCAGGCATTGGTTATTATTTATCTGCTACAAACATTCATATACAAGTATTTTTGTAGACATGTTTTCATTTCTCTTGGGTACATACTTAGGAGAAAAGTTACTGGGTAATATAAAAAAAAGTATGTTTAACTTTATAGGAAATTGCCAAATTGTACCATTGTATTTCTCCATCAAAAATTCATTAGTGTTCCAATTACTACAAATTTTCACCAATATCTGACATCAGTCTTTAATTTTAGCCATTCTAGCAGGTGTGGAGTGGTATCTCACTGTGGTTTCAATTCACATATTTCTGATGATTATATGATGTTTAATGACAAGCACCTTTTCATGTGCTTATTGGCCACTCATATACCTTCTTTGGTGAAGTATCTGCTCAAACCTTTCTTGGTCTTCTTATTACCGAGTTGTAAGAGCTCTTTATACATTCTGGATTATCAATTTCTTGCTAGCTATATGAACTGTGAATATTTTCTCCCCATGATTTTCTTGTCTTTATTTCTTAATGGTATCTTTCAAAGAACAAAAGTTTTATATTTTAATCAAGTCCACTTCATCAATTTTCCCTTTTAGGGTCTGTATGTTTTGTACCCCAAGATATCTTTGCCTACTCAAGGGCCACACAGATTTTCTCCCTCTCTTTTGGGGTGAAAGGCAGGGAAAGAGTCTCATTTTCTTATATCAGAATGTTACACAGGCTCCTCTCAAACTCTTGGACTCAAGCAATCCTCCTGCCACAGCCTTTGGAATGGCTGGGATTACAAGGGCATACCACCACTTACTTTCTCTCTCTCTCTCTCTCTCTCTCTCTCTCTCTCTCTCTCTCTCTCAAGGGCATACCACCACTTTCTTTCTCTCTCTCTCTCTCTTTCTTTCTTTATTTTCTAGCAGTTTTACAGAGGTAAGGGCCAGTGTTCATTTTTTCCTAAATCAATAAAGATGTCAAGTTGTCCTAACACTGTTTTTTTTTTTTTAACTTTTAAGTTCAGGGGTACATGTGCAGGTTTGTTATACAGATAAACTTGTGTCATGGGGGTTTGTTGTACAGATGATTTCATCACCCAGGAATTAAGCCTAGTACCCACAAATTATGTTTCCTGATTCTCTCCCTCCTCTCTCCCTCCACCCTCCAAAAGGCCCCTGTATCTGCTGTTCCCCTATGTGTGTCCATGTCTTCTCACAATTTAGTTCCCACTTATAAGTGAGAACATGCAATATTTGGTTTTCTGTTCCTCTGTTACGTTTGCTAAGGGTAATGGCCTCTAGTTCCATCCATGTTCCTGCAAAGGACACAATCTCGTTCTTCTTATGGCTGCAGAGTATTCTGCGGTGTACATGTGCCACATTCTTTTTTTATCCGGTCTACCATTATTAATGAACATTTAGGTTGATTCCATGTCGTTGTTACCGTGAATAGTCTAGCATCATTTTTTAAAAGATGGCCCTTTCCCCATTAAATTGTCTTGGACTTTTTGAGCTGTCATATAATTATAGGTCTATTTCCAGACCCTCTATTCTAACCTTACACAAACACACACTATCTTGAGTACCAAAGACAGTTTGGTACTCCGCTTTTCAAGAGGTATAGCCTAATTCCCCTCCCCTGAGTGTGGGCTGGACACTGTGACTCACTCCTAACAAATAGGATGAAGTGGAAATGTGAGGGGGCAACTTCTGACTCTAGGCCATAAAAGGCATTATTAAATCTTCCTTCCTGCTCTCTCCTTGCTCTTGGGGAGGCCACTGACACACTGTCATGTACTCACTCAGAAGCTCTCTGGAAAGGCCCATGTAGTAAGAAACTGAAGCTTCCTGCCAATTAGCCATGTGAATGAGCCATCTTGGAAGTGGACCTTCTAGCCCAAATTAAGTTTTCAAATGACTGCAGCCCTGGCTGACATACTGACTGCAATCTACAGATGGTAAGCCAAAGCCACCCAGATAAACTACTTCTGGATTCCTGATTCACAGGAACTACATGAGAAAATAAGTGTCTGCTGTTTTAAGCTATTGTATTTTGAGGCAACATGCTTTATAGCAATCAATTAATAATGTATAGGCAATGTGTCTTCATCCCTTGAGTGGCTCACAGCAAAAGAAGCCACATGTGTCATAATCTGCTGAGCATCTATTTTGTGCCAGGCCCTGGGGAAAAGAAATCTGCATGACTGTAGTACTAACTGTAAGAAATTCCCATCCTACAGATGGGAACAACAAAATCATATGGTGTCAGAAGCAGGATTTGAACTCAATCTTCATGCAGCATACAGAACCCTTCAGCTTCTTCTAAAAACCTCAAGTCTATAATTTTAAAATGCTAACTTGATTCACACAAGGTTAGTGGCCCCTGTTTACTTGACAGCAATATCCCATTACTTCTGCCTCAAACCAAACACTTATGGCTAAAATCATAATAATGACAATACATGTAATAGCACTACAATCTGGAATAAAGCACGTGTCATTTAATTTTGTTTGCAGCCCAGATTCAATAAACAAGCCTCAGAACATCAAGATCTGCTAATACAGCCCTAGGGTATGGCAAGGACATCACATTAAAAAAAACAACAACAACAACTACTCTGTGTATAATTCAACAAATGCATAAATATATATGAAGAAGACTGGAATATAGACATCAAAATATTAAAAGCAGTAATCTTAGGGTAGTCAATTTATGAGTAACTTGAGTTTTTGTGCACATACTTCATCTTGTTTTCTAGTTTTTCCCCACAATAAATTACTTCTATAGTAAAAAATGGATGAAGCTTTAAACATTTATTTTGACGAATACTAGTGTACATAGGAAAATTTGCTTAAATCACTAAAAAGCTCTAAACTTAAAAAAGAAATTAAGAAAATGATAAATTGAAATTAATTCCAGGCAGGTTTCAGATAACAGTCTGCCAATAACATTTTTTTTGGAGACAGAGTCTCACTCTGTCACCCAGGCCAGAGTCCAGTGGTGCGATCTCAGTTCACTGCAACCTCAGCCTCCTGGGTTCAAGCAATTCTCCTACCTCAGCCCCCCCAAGTAGCTGAGACTACAGGTGCACGCCGCCACACCCCGCTAATTATTTGTATTTTAGTAGAGATGGGGTTTCACTGTGTTGCCCAGGTTGGTCTCGAACTCCTGAGCTCAGGCAATCCATCCGCTTCAGCCTCCCAAAGTCCGGTGCTGGGATCACAGGCGTGAGCCACCGCGCCCAGCTACATTCTTTTTTTTAATGCACAAAATTTCAAAATTGATTTTAAGCCAAGTCCCCAAGTTTTTTAAAGCAACTGCTGTCTAAAAATGCAAATCAAAAATGTCTTGTGAGAAACTCGGGGCTGTGGCTCATTAATCTCACTGACACAAATAAGACCTACGTCACAGCTCTGAACCCCAAGTATTCCTATCTTAAAGGAATGGCTGACCACGGTGGCTCATGTTTGCAATCTCAACACTTTGGGAGGCCAAGGTGGGAGGCTTACTTGAGGTCAGGAGTTTGAGACCAGCCTGAGCAACATAGCAAGACCTCGTCTCTACAAAAACTTTTATAAAAATTAGTTGGGCATCTTGGTGCACCTGTAACACTGACTGCTCCAAGGGTGAGGTGGGAAGACTGCTTGGGCACAGGAGTTAAAGGATGGAGCTATATGATTACACCACTGCACTCCACTTGGGCTACAGAGCAAGACCCTCTCTCTAACATACAAATAAAAGTTATTACATGTGCTATGTGTGCTGTGAAAGGCGTGTCAAAAAAAAGTATATTACATGACAACTTCTTCAAATATTATATTGAATTATATAAATTTACTCTGTAAATTTGTAATTTCTGAGTAAATATAAATTTTTATCACTGCTGA